AAACATGCGTCTGCCTTCCTATCTTGCCTTCAGGGCTTTGTCCAGCTCTCAGTATAAGGGGATAGCAGGACAAGGCGAACATGGACTCTTTGCAACTGTCACTTGCTAAATATTCTGTCGTCTGGTTGGAATTAAGTGTCTTAATTGACTTTATTGGCCCTATTAATGATGCAAAGGTTTTTATCACCGATTCATAAATTCACTTCTTGTAAAAACACTAACCAGTTAATACTAGCCTTGATTCATTAGTAACTTGCTTTTGACATCAGCTAGACATAATATTTTATCATTATGTTTACTAAACAATGGAATTCCTAGTTTCCTTTAAGGGGCTTGTGTAGTTTGGGACATAAGTTAGCAGCATCCAACACTAGGGTTGAATTCGAGTCACTGTTTTCTAAGAGCCTTCATTTTGTAGGTTTACCACTGAACGTTTTGGTGATTTTACACTCGATGCGCAACTGACATCCATAATTCGCTGATGGAAGCTCATCAATAATTTAAATCAGAATTGCTGGCAGATTTGACATGAGCCACGTTTATTCACGCGTAAGAACCTTCCGTCTAATTAGGCCATGCTAACACACCGCATGAACATTGTCACAATCTTTTTAACTGTTGCGAATATACGCTGTGGCTGACAATTGTGCTTTTGTGACATGTGAACCTACACGTCCGGTTTGCTTACATGGCAACATTATCTGTCGATCAGCATTATGTGATGTGGCTTCAATAAGAAATTAGAAATGTGTGTACAGTTGTGTCGATTTAGATGGAAAACTAACTGCTTTTGGTTCACTCATAGGTGAGTGCAAACATTCGCTAATCAGCAGAAATTAGGAAATTCTTTGATTTGTAACACTATAAGTTATCAAATTGCTAAAAATAACATATTTTGTCGTCTTTTCTGATGGACAAAAACCATAAATGGATTTGGACTTCTAAGGTAGTGGAACTGTTAAGATGCAGTCCATAATGGCTTGAGTAGAAAATCAAATATGTTGTTTAAAGATTTGTTAGGTAATTTGGACGCCGCGGTTCAATCGTAAACATAGCCTCATCCTAAAACTGTTTGCAGAAAAATATTCTGATTTTTTGTTAACCGATGCTGTTGGTGAGGAATTGTCATACCTTTACAGTATTGTGGTCTTATTTTCGATTGGCAGACGAAAAGCCGCCCCCTTGCTGCTTGTTTTGTTCGTAATTTTGGCAGTCATTAGTCGTCACATCTCAACTGCGCCGTATTGAACGATAAAACCACTTAAGGTGCCTTAGCCCAGCACATTCAGTTGCCAAGCCGTAGGGAGGGTCACTTTATGCGCCATCACAAGTTCCTGAATCGATCTCGAGGTTTCAAGTAGGTGTTAGCAACTCAGTTGAAGAGGTCACTTGAGGCGGGAACAGTCCCCCACTTCCCTCGATTTCCCAATTCGTAGGCCACCGGTTCAATTAGCGTGTGTGCGTGTTACAATAAAAACCATGTTTTCAAAATGTGTCCGACCCTTTGAGGGTAAAAAAATCGACATACTACAAGTAAATTTTATTCATGTTTCGAAGTGTGACTCCTCACGTTAAGGCTTCCACCCATCTTTTGCAGTCCACTATCACTACAAAGGGAAGGCCAAATTTCCCGTTAAACTTCCTGATTAACGTCAACGGAATAGCTAATACGCCTAGTGAGAGCCTTCGCATCGGGTGAAGTGTGTTGAAAAATCATGAGACATGCGCACTATATGCTATTTCCATCGAAACGCACAATAAATTGTAGCATGAAATGAAAATGCTAGGCTTACGATTTACTTGAACAGATTTGAAGGCGCTGGCTAGCGGATAAGGGCCTCATCGAAACGATGTTGTGCAAATCGGATACAACACTCATAAAATCCATCCTAATCTTGACTCATTTATTTTGAATTTAAAAGAACCTTTAGAAGCTTAAACCACAAATGTTTATCACGACAATCTGTTTGAATGAGCCGACATAATTACCTGTGATTTGGGTGGAGTCGACTGATGCGTTGGTGTGTACACGCTGACTTTGGTGATAATTGGTTTGCTGAGGTTTAAATAGTTGCTACCCCAATGTCGGCTAGCTACTGCCACGTGTGAAATCACCAAGTAGCTATTTGTCACTGATTGGGTACCCGCTCTAGTCGGAATTTCGTGAAGCCAAAAATCTACCAACTGACATCTAGCACGTCCACATTTTTCCCAAAATTATCGGTGTTCGGCCTTCGGGAGTTCTCGCAAAATCAGATTCCACATTGTTGAATAAAGTGGTCTCCAATAAAATGAAAAAAATTGAGATTGAAGAAAAGGGTAAGCCATTAGCGATAAAACAAGAGCGAATCGAGGCGCACCCAAGTCCACTGACTTCGGATACATCTTCTACCTACGTTTGAATTAGTGAATTCAACCCTCACAACATACACGATCTACTTATTGGTAATTTAAATGTTAAACCCCGAAAACTGAAACGCACGACATGCTTGCATCCGACTTGAAATCTGACTTATTGTGTGCGAGTCAACGATTTTTGTTTCATCTGAGGGGTCAAACCACAGCCCGATACTGGATGTAGTCTCTCCGCCTAACCATACTGACCATCGTGTTAGAATCATTGCTCCGTTTGGTTAAGTAATGTTTTTAGCAGAGACTCATGTCCATGCATTCACACAATTTTCCAGCACAAATTTGATCTTAAAGTATGCGAACCATCAATAAACCACCTCCTAGCTGTAGGACTGTTGGAAATTAATTGCCAACTTTATGTTGAAAGTAGCATTACTCTAGATAACACTCTTTACTTTATCTGATCCAAAACCTGAATGGAAGTGCTAAATTGCTCGTTTGTTTCAGTGAGTCGTTTCATGGGTTCTGCGAGTGCGGCCCCAATGACTAATCCGTATTCTATGGGGACTCACTTTCCAAATACATCAATCAATGAGGCTAACCTTCATCATAAATTTGGCCTCCCAGTCTCGTCAACCTCAGCCACATCAGCGTCCTTCTTCTATCCCCACTCGCCGTCCACTGCTCCTTCTCCCTACGCCCCCTACATCCCCGCCTACGTCCCTCCACCACAGTTACCGACTGCAAATCTTCAATCCGGTGTTTACCAATCGGTGAACGAGAACTTCGAAACGCAACGAAAGGCCGCAGTGGCGGCAGCCGCCGCCTTGGCGGCTCACCAGCAGCCCTCGCAGTCGCAGCCTACCCAGCCCTTGGATCAACAAGTGCAACAATTTAGCCAACGAAGGAAGCGCAGGGTTCTTTTCAGTCAGACACAGGTGATGGAACTAGAGAGGAGGTTCAAGCAGCAGAAATACCTCACTGCGCCCGAGAGGGAGCATTTAGCCCAGATGATCCATCTCACACCAACGCAGGTGAGGTGGCTCTTTAGCCTACTTGCTTTTTCGACATTTACTAAACACATCAAGCCTGAAGCGGAAAAGAGCAGTTATATAGTGGGACATCTGCCGAGCTTGAAAGGCCGGAACAGTGGGTCTTCTGCATCGCTTACTCAGACAGTACCCTGGTGTCAATAGGAGCATCTTAATGGAACGCGAAGCAAGCGTGCATCTTTCTAAACTTAACATTTTAGTTGACATTTGTGTACAAAAATTGCACGTTTGGTTGTCAACTGAAGCACTGTCCTACTAGTATCATGCAGTTTCTTGAATAAAATCAACCGTTAATATGGCATCCTTTAAAGAAAGGTCATTAACTTATTGTCCACTTAATATACAACCCATATGATTTCGGGGAACAACCCTGCCAGTAAATAAAAGCATGACAGTGGCTAGAAAGTTGTGCCCATCTCGGAGATATCCAGGTAGCTGAAAGCAACGTTTACTAATTATGAGCGTGAAGAATCGGTGTGTGCACATCCATTCTTTGATTCCTTAATGGTCAAAAGCTTGCGTCACAGCTCGAACCACGACCAACTTAACACATAACGCTGATATGCAGGTGGATGCCTAGTAAATATCCTGAATGCACTTATTAATAGTTTTACGTTAAACCCTTCAGGTTAAAATATGGTTTCAAAACCACCGCTACAAGTGTAAAAGAGCTATTAAAGAGAAAGAAGGTGGCGTGGTGCCTCTCCCACAAGTACAAAGTGGCAGCGGCATTCGAAGCTGTTCTGAGGGTAGTAAAGAAGACGACGTCCTCAGTGACCGCAGTTCTCCGAGTGAATTTAACGGTAACAAAGACGACATTCAGTCGACGTCTGAAACGACGCAGATACCGTCGGACGGTGGGAGAATGCTTTCAGCTTCGCAAATAAAGGATGGCTTCAGTAATTTCGAAATGGCGCTCCATTTCCCAGATTCCAAGCTTTTTTCTGGATCTACATTAGCACATGGAGGCTACGGAGGCCAACCGATGTTTCTATCAAGTCCAAGAGATCCACCACGCGAAGGTGAAAACGGAAACGTAGATATTTACCGTCCTTATTTCAACTACTGTGCTTCGGATTACGATAATTCGAAAAGGCTCGGGGCAAGCATCTTGGGCAGTGGTGCCAGTGGGGAGGGCCCTGGTACAACAGACTTTCTACCTCAAACAGCAAATTCCAAGGCTGTGTTTGGATATCAGCGGATTCCTGATGAGGAAGTCTCGGCTAAATCGAAGCATGCGTTCGGAGTTGAAATGAGGGACATTGGATTTGGATCGCGACACGGCGATTTCTACCGAATGACCCAACCACTAACGAAATCAGGAGATGTCTGGCAGGAATGCCTGGCTTCCGCTGGTTCGGAAAAACCCAATATCATGCCCTCTGTCTATGATTTCCAAACAAACACCAGAACCGAGTAAAGAAGTTGAAATCAACGCAACTTAAAACGAGCCCACTTTCTTTGGCTATTTTTCGATATTCACTTTTGTGTACCCCATAGGTGTCCGAACTTAATATAGCAACAATTACTGCAATAAGTACCTTCAGCTTCTTGAGCACCGATCAGAAAGAGTAAAGTGTTAATTCGTGAATTCGCATGATCTTAAGTCTAAGATCTTGGCGTAAACATTGGTCAAAATACGTCGCAAATGCCAATCTAATGAAATAAAGAAAACTTACCTGATGATGAAATCTGGTCGTAGATACACCGAGTCCCTGTGTTAATCATTACATGGCTAAGTTGAGGAAGAAGTTGAACCTTAAGGCATAGTTAGCAAAGGTTATTGAATAAACCAAAACACTTCTCTAAATTGCTTTTAAATTAATCCCTCCGGGAATTCCTAAAGAAAGTGTTAGTATTCTGACACCGCGAAGTTGTTCTCTTTATTAAATGGACGGGGGAGTTGTGGGGGGGGGGTTGAGATCACATTATTGCTTTAATTGTTGGATATATTTGCGGTTGATTTAGGTAACATAGACTTTAATTGCCCAAATTGTGAATATGAATTAAACAGTAGTTATAGGAAAGAGGTCAATGGGTAGATGGGAAGGGAAAGAATATCCAAAAAAGTCAAATGGATTGAGCTCACGGCTAGTAGGTCCAAGAGGTCAGGAATAAGTGAAAAACACCGACAAACTACGTACAGTAAAAAGTCGAAGAAATTTCGCGTTAGACATATATCCACTTGGTGTTCACCCTTTTACGGTGTCCTCGAGATGTAAAGTTAATCGAAGCACAGGATAGAAGTAAAGCAAAATGTCTATAAGATAAGGTAACAGGAAGCATCCAGGGACTGTCAAAAGGTAGACAGCTGATCAAAAAATGTACTCTGGCTCACAAACGTGGTCCGAATCAAACGTTCACTTTCTTGTCCTCAACTAATCCGAATTTTCGGCGTGCTTCATGTTTTAGCTGTAAGATGCAAGGTGTGCTGTTTCTGAAACAGCGCGCTGAGAATATTTAAACCGTTTAGTGATCTCGTGACAATAAATTATCCTTTCAAATCAACTGAAGGAACCTCAGATATAATTAATAACTATGGTCGCACTTTTACTCCAAATGCATCGGTTGCAGTGCCGTGGGAATTGAAATATAGTGTCGTCCAGGGCTAAACTGCGCTAAGAAAGGCACGCAGTCGTGTTGGAACCCGACGCAATTTCGTGGCTGAGAACAAGGGCATCAGCACTCCGGGTCAACTTCTTGAATTGAGAACCGGGCCACGTATTCAGTGCACGTGAATATGTGCCCATTTAGACCTAACAGATTAAAGTAGGGCGTTCTGAATATCGTCGACATCAACGTTGTCTACAAGTACAGTTTTAACTTAGCTATCTTAATGAAAACGAGAAACGTTGAAAACAGATGGCTTCTCTGAGGCCCAGTTTCTGCATTTATCTTGATTTGATTGCTGCTAGTTTGACCATAACTTCAACGATAACTCACATTGACATTAATGCATTTTCAAATGCATAAGTTGTAAGGTTTTTAAATTCGAACCTCATTTTGTAACGCGGTATTTGTGAGCCACACGGCTGTTTTAATAGGCTCACAAATAACATAACACTTCACGCATTCAGTAGTAGTTTGCTTTAACTAAACCTTAGACTAATTATTTCGGCTTGTTAAGCCTCCCCCAAATTCACAGAACCGAGTGAGATTCAAGGAACCTTGTTATTGGTTAGATACCTGAGAGTTGATTGGCCAATTTTGCAAAGAAAGAGCAACGGGGACTTCCATAACGTGTGTTTGGCTAATTGGCCAACCGACGATGAACATTTAATCAAATGCATTGAAACATAAAGCAGGAATACACTTGTAATTATGCGCATGATGATATCGGACACCGAACTTACATAACTCCCAAAAGCTAAGATTGTGAGCATCCAAAACAAATTTCAACATAATAAGCAGCACATTTAAAACAGCTCATTTAGGGATGAGTTTTAAATGAGTGTTGATTAATACGCGAGGAATCTGATTATCTATCACTTGTTGAGAGGTCTGACCCAAACTGATGGCAAGTTTAAGATAGCAACATCCAGAAGGATCGGAGTCAGTTTGAGTCACGTGCAAGACTCTCCCTGACACGTAATTCCAATCAGACGACAGCGTGTTTAGCAAGTGACAGTTGCAAAGAGTCCACGTTCGCCTTGTCCTGCTATCCCCTTATACTGAGAGCTGGACAAAGCCCTGAAGGCAAGATAGGAAGGCAGACGCATGTTTTCGCAATGAATGGAACCTTGGGCACAACGTCATCCAATTTCGCGGTACCGAGTTGGAAATCGCTGAGGTGCACCAATACGCATTGTTCAATAAGCATGAATCCAGTTCTCGTTGTGAGATCAATTAGCACTAAGTTATGCCACTTTTTCACTCGCGTCAACTACCTTCCTCGCTGATTTCCTTCTCGTACATATTGAGTGGTAGAGTTGGTAGTGCATTCGGCGTGGTACCAGAACACTGCTCCTTTACTAACTCCATGGGGTCTCAGAGAGGATGTTTCACTTTGCACTCAAATGGGAGTGGCTTGACCACGTGTGAGCTGACTATTATTATCTGCATCTGCAAGCCGACTGCTTTCAACACCAGTGCATTCACGAACCCGCGCCCACGCACACACACACAGGCAATAAATAAGGCAGATTCGAGTTGACATTAAGAAGCCAGAAGTGCCACAGCTGTGGTTTGTACTTCTTTGTAGTCTGAGAAGCACCACCAAACCGCTCGCGATGTGTTAGCGAAAAGACGCCTAATGTTACGCAATGACTCGTTATGTGTTGAAGGCAAACATGCTTGGTATTTGTGACGCGTGGATTTCGGCGACGAGGTACAGCTTTGACACGAAATCATGGGAATCAATCAGTGTCATCGGAACTGCAAGTGTAGGCCAATCCGCATGGGTGATCAGACAAGATGCAATTGAGTAGGATGATATTTTCTTCGAAACGCATGGCAATTTCGCATGCAAAGTAAGAATTTACTTAAAAGTAGGATGCTGAACACTTAAACCTTGTCAATGTGGATAGGTGGTTAAAGCGAATAGCAAGTCAGATGCACACACTGAATAGTACTGTCTTGTGGTGATTCAAGGTCGTTTCGGGCAGAGCGAAGAACCATCGTTCAAAGAAGACCTATTCGTAGGTGTTAAATGAGGTCGACCACACATGCCCAACTCGACTACTTCATGGTTGTCTTCATTAGAGAAAAATGGCTGAAAATACTTGGCACAGTTTGGGAACCCGGCCACTTGGTTGTTAGTGGCTACGTGTTCGAAAATGAGGTAAGGAATGAGTATGGCCTTGTTTGCAAATAAGACTTGCTCTTATTGCTGATCCGCTTCTGTTTGCGAGGACTGCAAAATGCAGCGCCAGTGTGATGTTTGCTTGGCAGTCAGCTTAGCGTCTTTAACGCATACAGGCACTTCCAGCCCCAGGTATCGTCGAGTGACGACGCTGTGAGGAGGACCTCGGAAGTCTCCAGGTCAGGACTACAGTCTACCATCTGCTAAGCCGAAATGAGGAGTTTTCGTACGCAGCCACAACTGCAAT